ATTATACAATTGATCTTTTGTATACAATTGCTTTCTTTGTATATGTATAGCGAATTATACATATATATGTTTGCTATGGAGCGCAATTATGCAAACTTTGTTATAACATACAAATATGAATTTTGTGTTTGTTATATGTGAAAGTTGCTCTTAATTATTTGATGTAAACATCCCATACAAGTAACTTTTCAGGAAACTTCATTGAGTTAAGCGCTTTATAAATATTTCGCCATTAACACCTTGTTTGGATGGTTGTTACCTGATGTATTTTATTGTATTGTTAGTTTAAATACAATGTTTATTTTGATTGTTACTTAAATTCTATAATCATATCGTATCATTTAAATCAATTGTTAGATAACGAAGAAGAATCCCAATAATCACATTATTACTTTACATCTTATTTGGATGGTTGTTACTCGTTGTATTGTATTGTATTGTTTTGTTAGTTTAAATACAATATTTGTTTGAATTATTACTTAAATTCTATTGTATCGTATCATATCGTTTAAGTTCATCATTAGGTAACGACGAAAAAACCCATTTTATGTAATGACCGATTTGGTGTGATCGCATCATTACCTTAATATTTTCTTCTCATTTTGTCTTTATTTATTATTTAATAATTACATTTCATCTTTTTACCTTACATTTCCATAGTAGCTCTACGCAAACCTTACTTTTCTTGTAGATTTATCGTTCAAATTATGAATGTGTAACATTCTATAACAACAACAACACATAACAACGCAATCCAATACGATATATTACGAAATAATAGTAACAACCATCCAAATTTTATGTTTCACCAGTAGCTTTTCATAGTAGCTCTACTCGTCATGAAAACCATACAAATAAGGGGAAGAAGTATTTTATTGCAGCCCTTTTGATCTACCGAAGTTACGGTACAAAGAAGCTTTATTGGGTTCCTTGTTTGTCTCTGCAGCATACTATCAAACAGTTGGGGGGAGATATCTCTTTTCTCCTTTTCACTGAATTTCAAGATTATGCTTCTCCCAGTTTCACTGGATATCTTCCTGGTGAGTGCTGCTGATTCAGTATCTTGACATGTTAAAAAGGATTATACGGGTGAAGTTGGGATTTTCCCAATAAACAACACTATCCCAATTTGTTTAGCTGTGTATCCTTTGCATTATTCACCCCTTTTTGGACTGTCAAGGTTAATGTTTGAAAAATGTGTTCTTTTTGGTAGTATCATATTGTAGTGAAGTGATTTTTCATTTGCTGGATAATGTGTTGGCTAATGTTAATATGATAGTGAAGTAATGATTTATTTTTTATGACAAGGAAAACCCCAGCAGCTACCTTTTGGATGCGCACAAGGTAAAACGCCCGCTCCTATGCAATAACTCGTAAACCACATAGGAGAGGTAACCCGCACTAGGCAAGCCCGGTGCGACTAGCTTGACCTAGAAGCAAACCCCTTGCTTTCGCTGGCAAGGGGTTTCGAACTTGAGACCTCCAACATGGAAGTCCCAAGTCCAAACCACTGGCCACCCGAAGGGTAGTGAAGTAATGATTTTCATGTGCTAGAAGGCATTCAGTATCTGGTTGTTCTGTTTCTTTCGAATTCTTAACTAGACAGTAGTGACAAGGTTTGCTCAGCATAACGATTTAAGCATTCTTAATTCTTTTTGTTTGCCTTTTCTCAAGGTCTAGTGAACCAACTTATGTGAAGATCAGTCCCCGCGTTTGAGATGCAAGCGAATGTGAAATGCAGAACTTCATGTGTTAAAACAAGTTCCTATCTTCATATGCAAACGGTATGTTCCACAGTATAAGGTTTGCATCTGCTTTTGATTACTTTAACGCTGTGTAAACTGTATTTCTCCAATCATCACAAGTGTTTTTTTTTAAACATTCATTTTAATCATATGAATATTATAGTGGATGGTTGAAGTGCAAGTTTAATAGAGTCTGGATGAGCCCTTAGTCATGGCAGTTGATGTTAAAATTAACTTGACCTGAGTTTTGCAGTTAATTCTATCCCATCTTTGCATGATATGTTTGGTACTAAAGTATAAACTCCTGGAATTCAGCTGCTAAGCTGTATAGTTTCTCTCTGTTGAGCTTTATAATGGCTTATCTATGTAACTGGTTACTGTAAAGCTGGAATGTAGTACTCCCTCCGTCCCAATTCAAGTGTCTTACTGTCCTTTTTGGTTTGTCCCAAAAAGAGTGTCTCTTTCTATATTTAGCAAGTTTTCCAATTCCAACATTCTACATGGCAAGTTTAAGACCACAAGATTTAAAGGACTATACATATCTTTAATTTAAGACCACAAGATTCTAAAGTTTCTTCAATTCCGTGTCTAGTCAAACTAAGACACTTAAATTGGGACGGGAGGGAGTATGATTTTATCTTGTAAATGTCTTTTCTTTTAACAACAGATTCAACCATTGATATTTTTTCATAGAAGGGGCATCAATGTCTGCTTATGGGGGCAACAATACAATATTTTCCCTTCTAAGGATCAACCAATAGAAGGACATTGCTGTCCAGATTTTTCCTCTTGCTTACACTATACATTTCATACTTCGAATCAATATTTTATCTCAAAAAAGAGAATGCCGATTGTTTTATCAAGCATTTGGTACTCAACTTCATCTCATATGATTTCAAATCATAATTTCATTTCACATGGCTTAATGGGCCCTAAATATATATAGTCCAAAATAGTTGTCATTTTAGAAAGCGAAGATATAATTGAGTACATTCTTTCCATTTTGTCCTTAGTAATAATTATTTTTGAAAGTTATAAACATGATACAAACATAAGTGAAGAACATATACACTTAATCCAATATTGTGATTATTTAGATTAACTCTCTTTTTATTTATTGAAGAGAGATTATTATTTTAAATAATTAAAAATAATAAATAAGGATATGACAATTAAAACACATAATTTATTAAGTAACACGTAAATAAAAAACGTGACAAATAAAGTGGTCAGGGAGTGTATGATGGGCCATCCAAGTTGGCATGGACAAGTTAATCTTTTTTTATGGAACTTGGATTAGAACAACTTTAGGATTAACTTGACTGTGCATATGTGTAATATACAAGTACCTTTTTAGGAAACTTCATTAAGTTAAGCGCTTTATAAATATTTCTCCATTAGTGCTTATCTCTGCATTTTGATAAGCAAAATCAACAAGTTTCAATGGAGAGAATCATTGAAACTGCTGACTGCAAGTCACTTCGGCTTTTCTTATGGAACGAAAAGCCAGCGAGGAACCAGATTTCACAGTCTGAAGGCTTATGCTTGTTCATAATCAGAAGTACATTCATGATGTTTCACCCTTGTGAATGTGGTTGTTATAAATCTAAGTACAGCCGCTACACACTTGAGGAGAAGAAGTGTTCTACTGTCATCCCTTTTGATCTGTCAAAGCTACGGAACAGAGAAACGTCATTGGGTTCCTTGCTTGTTTCTGCTACTCTTCAGTTTCTGCCGCAAACTATCAAACAATTGGGGGACGACATCTCTTTTTGCCTTTTCACTGAGTTTCAAAATTCTCAAGCTTTACTGCCACTGCCAAGGCGGACTTACGTAGTTGTCGTTGAAATCTTCCAGACTCGCTGTGTCAATTTTACTGATAAAGTTGATCTTGACACGTCCCCCAATTTCACAGGGTATCCTCCTGATGCCCCATTGTATTGCCGGTTTGAGAATGACGACAAGGAAGAGGAGGAGGTTGTCACTGTGCGCAATGTGAGTGCTGCTGATGATAGGAATGATCCATTTTGTAAATACACTGAGGATGTCCTTGAATATATTGACATGTTTAGGGAATGTACGGGTGAAGGTGAGGGTTATCCAATGAAACCGCCCATTGCGGTGGATGTAGCCAGTGGATTTGTCGAAGTCCCGCCATGCTATAGATCTTGGTGTTCAAGTCCAGCTATTAGCATCAAAGATCCAATGAATGAGACTTGCCCTGTTTGTCAAGAAGAGCTTAAAGACGAGAATGAAGTGATTACAACTTGTTGTTCGCACATGATTCATACAAGCTGTCTCCTCCCATGGCTATCCAAGAACAACACTTGCCCAACTTGCCGAGCTGTCTATCCTTTGCATTATTCACCCCTTTTGGACCATCAGCATTGTAAGCGCACACGTAACATGTTGGAGGCTAGTGTTTGAAATATGTGTTCTTTATCTTTTTTCAGCTTTTTCTTTTTTTTGGTAGTAGCATATAGTAGTGAAGGGATTTTTCCTGTGCTAGATAATGTGTTGGCTAATGTAAATATGATAGTGAAGTAAATTTTTTCATGTGCTAGAAAGCATTCAGAATCTGTTGTTTTGTTTCTTTCAAATTCTTAACTAGACAGTAGCGACAAGGTTTGCTCAGCATAATGATATAAGCATTCTTAATTCTTTTTCTTTGCCTTTTCTCAAGGTCTAATGAAGTTGGGAACAACCAATTTATGTGAAGATTAGTCCCCACATATGAGATGCAAGCGAATGTGAAATGCAAAACCTCATTCGTTAAAACAAGTTCCTATCTTCATAGGCAAAGAGAATGTTCCACAGCATAAGGTTTGCATCTGGTTTCCATACTTTAACTCTGCGCACAGTGTATTTCACCGATAGTATGTTCCAAATTACCTACATCCGTTTGTTGGAACCTGTAATGGTTGAAGACCAGTATTAGTGTTGCTATTAATGAACTGACACACCCTTCGGGGTGGTCCAGTGGTTTGGGAATGGGACTTCCATGTTGAAGGTCTCAAGTTCGAAACCCCTTGCCAACGAAAGCAAGGAGTTTGCCTTCTAGGTCGAGCTCGTCACACCAGGCTTACCTAGTGCGGGTTACCTCTCCTATGTGGTTTGCGATCTATTGCATAGGAGCGGGGGTTTTACCCTGTGCGCACCCAAAGGGTAGCGGCTGCGGGTCAACCCCCTGGAGTTGGAATGTTAGCTTAAATATAACATTACTTGATTTCTATGCGGTGCTAATTTGTTGAACTGTCCCAAATATATAGCACTTTTAAAGTTTTTTATGCATTATAGAACTTACAAAAGTGCTCAGTCTTATCATTTTTATCGTCAACACAAGTTTTTCCTTGTCTGTAACTAAAGTAAGAAGTAGGGTGCTTATTGGTCGGTTATGTCCAGTCTGGTTTATCGGTTTTCGATTTATAAACACGCTAAACCGATAACCAAACCAATAATGTATTTGTCAACAATTTTCGGTTAATCAATTTTTGGTCCTTGAAAGTTCTTTTCGATTTATAAACACGCTAAACCGATAACCAAACCAATAATGTATTTGTTAACAATTTTCGGTTAATCAATTTTTGGTCCTTGACAATTCGATTTTTGGCTTAACCATTGAAAAAATGCTCCTTTAATTTTTTTGTTCTTCCTTATTTGCAATTTTTCATATATACACTGGCTTCATGCATAAATTCTACACAAACTACATGCAGAAGCAAATTCAAATACGTTATTGCTAAAACAAACTTGTTTCTTTATGGTCAAGTAGCAAACTTGGATGCAGTAACATTTTAGCAATCTCTCAAAAAGAAAAACATGTCTAGTTCATAGTTTACATTGATGGGTAGTACCTTACCAAACTAATGGCTTCATAAAGAAAACAACAACGCCAAGAAACCAATAATTTTTTTTTTCAGTTCTGTTTATCGGTTAAACTAGTCTTTGCACACCCCTACTAAGAAGTTACTATTAGCCTAGTCCCATATCCTCCTATCATCATAAATTGTAATGCTATTGCATCTTTGGCATGATATATTTGGTACCAAAGTACAAATTGTTTGAATCTTGCTGCTTATCTACCTTGTTTCTCTCTCTTGAGCTCTATAATTGCTGACCTATGTAACTAGTTGCTATCAAGCTGAGACGTGGTTCGATTTTACTGGTAATTATCTCATCTTCCAATAAGAGATTCATCCAATGTATAATTTCACACAGGAAAGGGCATCTAAGCCCTGAGGGCACAATCGATAATTCTCCCTTCCATGGACCATTAGTAAATGGCTACTTCTGTCCAGATTTTTCCTCTTGCTTAGACAATAGTATTGCGGCAAATAGTATATGAATGATACTCCCTCCATTCCAGTTTTATGTGACAACATTTGCTTTTTAGTCCTTTCCTTCAAAATAAAAAAACAGCTTTTAAAACTATTTAATTTGAACTTCTCATTTTTATCCTTTATGAGAAGCTTTTCTGGCCAAACAAATGTTATGACATGTTTAACACCACATGTTTCATAAGTTTTTTCTTTTCTTCATAAACACTGCGTCCTATCGACAAGAGGGAGTTGCAATGCCATTTAAATTGAAAGCGAAGGAGTAATTGTTTATCAAGCACTTGGTATTCAGCTATATGATGTGTTGTCTGGGTGTACTTCGGGACAAATATTCTTGATATCAAATATAAATCTTTAAATTTGATTGATGAACACTTCCAAGTTTTCTATTTCGCTATATGTTTGGAGACGTCTAGTCAGTGTAGGAGCTAGAAACAAATGGATGAGCAAACTGAAAAGTAGCTTAGTGATTCCAGGACTTCTCTTTATCCTCTTGCTGGTGCAGCTCTTCCTTTATGTCAACATTTCATTTCATGACAGGAAAGGAGAAGGAATTGGAGATCAATCAGCTATAACTGATGACAGGTTCCTCGTAATTTGTTTGCGCTTGCATCTCTTGCTTCCTTAGTGTTGGTATTGGAGATTCAATCAGCTCTACTTGATCAACATGTCAAGAAAAACTGATCAAATAGGGGCAGACCCTGAAACTTCAACTCTGGCACATTCTCAAAATCCTTTAAAGATCATGAAAATGCTCTTTTTCTACCAGGGGATAACAGTAAAAAAAGAAATTTATAGATGAGCCTTTTGAGGCATTGAAGGATGACTATGAAACTATTGATAAGATTGGGAATTTTTTATTACATTGTTGATTTTGCAACAATTGTAGAAGGAAGAAGAACCAGCCTAGGATAATATGCAGAGTAGCTTATGCCAAAAATAAATGTGGGAGTCTCAGTCTCCAAGGTTAACCTATTCAGCATTTCATAAAGATGTCGAAGTTGAAACTGCGAAAAGCCGAAAATACTACTGAAGGGAACAAATCAGTTAAAAAGTTTGCAGCAGAAGTTTCTAGTAGAGGTCTTTGAAAATATATCGAATTCAAGAGGTGAAAGTATAGTGTTCAACAAATTGAAGCTCAACAGGTGTAGATACTGAGAGTGAAGGAGAGATTGCATTTACTGAAGCAGAAAATGTCAATGAAGGCATAAGAAACTTCATCATATTTCTCTGAAAAGTCATCGTGAAGAAACAGAAGAGAGTGAGTGATAATCATCCAGAGAAGGAATCCTGTGAAGAAAGGGATATGCGCTACTGGAGAGATAGAAGGTACTAAAATAAAATTTCATTTTTACTAATTAGTATTGCTTTCTTGGTAGTTAAAAATAGTTTCTAAGCAATTGCCTGCCTAAGATTATGTATTTCTGGATAGAATTATGTGCAGAGGGCTATCTATGATCTTCTATGCCAGTACATGTGAAGTATCACTGCTACCCGTTGCTCCTCTATGGTAGTGATGCTGATTTTGTGTCTATGTAGATGATGTAGGAAATTTTATCTCGTCTTTATCTATAGCTAGGAAAAATGCACGATTTAAGTTCTTTTCACCGTAAATAAATGGATCTTGAGCCTAACTCAACCCAAAAGTTAGTTCATGAGAGGAGGATTGTTCAAAACTATATAAATAGACCAAGTAATCCTTAACTCACTCATGTGGGACTCCAACACCCCGCATGGCCAGGATTGGACATTCGGAGCCAGAGGCGGTTCCAGGTTTTGAAGTGTATGGGTTCATATTAATTATTTCAAGTTAACGTAAAATAATAAATGGGTTCTCACTGGGTTTCCCGTGAACCCATACCTCATGAACCTTAGGCCTAACTCAATCCCAAAAGTTAGCTCATCAGGGGAGGATTGTAAGACCATATAAGGAGACCGAGCAACCCTTAACCCACCGATGTGGGACTCCAACATTCACTATTACAGTAAGTTTATTAGCTGTGAAATTTTCCCACAGTATATATTAGAAATCAAGAGTAATAATTTAAATTGAAGAGATGTAGGCACAATGTGTAGTTTAAACCCCTGAAATAGTGTGGGTCGAAATAGTGTGTTCTCTTGAATTAATAAATCTTGCAAATTTATGAAATACCAAAATAGCAGAGTAGTTCCAAAATACGATGAAATCTGAAATATAACATTTGTATTATACAATAAAGTTTGCACATTACATTTTGTGCTTCATAATAGGCAACGTAACAAATACATTCTATTTTTCTATTACATCAAAATTGAATTTATTTTTATTGTATATAAGCAACAATAACAGTAATATCATCAACTTTTCCTCCTTTATGTCGTCCCTTAGATGCTCTTGCATGTGGTGTATCTGCAAATCCATCCAATGAGTTGTACAATGCAACGTTAACAATTTTCTTAGCCAACTCCCTTGCTTTCAAATTCTTGTTGATCGCTCTCCGAACAATTTCTTCAATTTCACTATCATTCATATTATCAAGCATCCCGTCCGTCCCAACCATCAAAATATCATCTTTCTCGATGTTTAATTCCATCTCTTGAGCAACACTAGGATTATCAGCATTGCTGTTTCCCAATTGATGCGGACACCCAAATACTCAGTTGTATCGGTGACTTGTATATAATAGGTAATGGAAAACAATTTTGGGAACTTTTTTAATGGAATATTTGGAAAATGTGTGTAGTAATTACTCCTAGTCCTAGTTAGAAAAGGATTGGGAAACAAAGTTTTGGTAACTAACTGAAATTGTAATTTTTGGAAACTATGTAAAACAACTAGAAGTAAGTAATCCTCACGCGTACAGGCGTGAAAAGAAAGTGAAATTTTAATCCAAACAAGATACTTCAAACATTAACTTTTTTTTGATGTAAGCAAATGTGATACTTCAAACATACTTAATTGATGTCGTACAAGATGCTAAACCAATTGTTTAGCATTCAAGGGTATAGCCTAGTGGTCAATGAAGTAGGTGGAGAACCATGAGATATTGGAGGCAAAAAGCACGATGTGATTTCTTCGCATCTGGACAAGTCTTGGTAGTCAGAGTTAATCAGTGTCTCTATTGGTGGGAGGTAGCAACCTAGCAGGTACCTGGTGGAATAGTCGAGGGGGTGCAAGTTGGTCCGAACACTACTATCATTAAAAAAAGAAGAAGAAAGAAAGTTACTGAGAATAGCCATGTTGCCCGTTGGTAAAGCGTAAAGGTTTCATGGGTACCCTATTTGGTTACCATTATTTAACCTGAAGCAAGTTTTTAAACTTTTTTGCATGCCTACCACTTCGCAACTAGACCAAATGGCTTGTTCTTCTTTAGACCACCAATAGGGAATGTGAGTTGGGTTTAGACCGTCTTGACTCGTGAGACAGGTTAGTTTTACTCTACTGATAACAAGTGTTGCAATATTAATTCAACCTAGTACTTCCTGTTAAAAGTTTGAAGTTTAGTCATGCTTCAAAATCGTCACCAAGGGTGATTATATTCCACATTTGAACAATGGCTATGGAATGCAGAATGACAGAAATCAGTGACGATTTTGAATACCAGTCTTCAATTCTCTCCCTCTCTCTATCAACGGTGGTGTCTGAACCAGTTTAGTCACACCTCTACCATTCTACCGTACTTGCTACCTCTCAGTGCTCCTACCATCGCAACGCGGAGCAGGACACAGGTACATGGTCACTCTCTTTTGTTCTTGAATGTATTCATCATTCAAATTTAGTATTTTAGAGGTGAAGTTTATGGAAGAAACTTGTCAAAGGAACTTTTTATTTGATAGGTGTTGTTTGGTTGCCAGGAAAGGAAAATAGTCAAAAGAACATTTTATTTATTGCCTCTGAAAAATGATCCTTTTATTTTACTTGCAATTTTTTTATCTAATAACACCTTGTTGAAGGTTAGTAGGTAATCAAGTGTTGTCGCACTTTATGTGGTAGAGGCAGAGGGCTAGCCTCATCTCTCCTCCTTTTAGTAGTCACGTAGTTTCTTATTCTTCAATGTATATTACTATTTGTTGCTTCATTTGTCTTGCATCTTGTTAGTTTGCTGTCATATTTTCTTGCAACACTGCTTCCCTAACTTCTCTTTTGAGTCGAGGGTCTATCTAAAACAACCTCCATATCCCACAAAGGTAGGAATAAGGTCAGCGTACATCCTACACTTTCCAGACCTCACTTGTGGGATTACACTAGGCATGTTGTTGTTCGTTTATTTAACTTTCTGCATCAGTTACAGTTCACTCTTTGCATATGTGGAAATCGAATGATATCTGCATCTAAACATTGAGTTTTGTTTGTATTGCAATTCCTTCATATTATTAGGAATATATTCACAATCTCTACAAGACACTGCAACCATATCTTTGTATCGTTCCTACTGTTTACTCACTTACTGTCCACATACTCGTTGCACCTCACAATGGGTTCTAATTACTAACTCACATGTTTTTCGTTTTCAGAACATCACACATGAACAGTTTTTTTGGGGGATAATCACTCGGCTCAAGAGACCTCGCGTATGAGGTCATGTAGAGTGTTTTGGAGGAGAATCACTCAACTCGGAATCTCCCGTGTGAGGTCAGGTGATGTATATAATTCTTTGCTCCACTTTGATAAATGCTGGCTCTACAAGTAGACAAGTCATGTAGGTTGAGTCACATTTGGGCGGATTATGACCCAACCCGTAGAGTTGATATTGCCACCCTTATAAATGAGAATAATTAATTCAGTCATCAATAAGTATAGAGGAAAGTTCGAGAAGCCACGTATTTGTTATATGCAGCAAAATGATAAATGTCAGGACTAGTACAAATCATATAATAATAATTAATAATAATAAGATTATGTGGCTTAATTTACATTCCCTAGCAAAGAGGGAATTAAGACAATTGAGTAGGAAAGTTCAATGTAAATGTCCTACATTTAATAATTGGGGTCAGTCACCAGTACTATGTCCTTGAATAGATGATAAAAGAGAGAAATACTGCTTTACGAGATGAAATACCGCTTTATGAGATGAAGAGGTTTGACTGACAGAGCTTGATTTTTTTTCCTCTCCTTTCAGTCGAGTGACTTCGTACCTTTCCTCGAGACCGCTAACACTGCCTATTTGACAAGTAGCTAGAGACTAAAAAAGATAAGTGTATATAAACTTTATTTCTAAATTGTATAGATAGAGAGGTTGTTTTCGTTAGATCACTAGCTTAAAATAAAGCATATTCAAGCCGTCTGAGATAAAGGAATACAAATATAATAACAATAACAAAAAAAGTAAAATTAAGAGTAATACATTATACATAACATTCAGAAGAATAAAGAAAAAACAAAATAGTATTGAATAGGGTTTGCAAAAATACCTTTCTAAGCTTGTTGGGAATTAATTGCATACATACATCATACATACATACTTTACTCATACATACATCAAGCTTATAATAAATTTTATGACTTATATTATCATCACGAGAGTAGTGGGAACTGGGATCAATAGTTAGATTTCTTCACCTTTCACCAAAGATCTCAAGTTCGAATCGTGAGAATCAAGAACTTCTTTGTAGAAAGTGCTTTACCCTCATTGGACGCGAGTCTGGAATAGACGGGGATTCAGACAATAGGTTCTGGATACTTATAAGTGACGGAGTTAGTCAGTTACAGATTCGATTGGATGCATGAATTTTGATTAAATCTTATATATATCTTAAAAGTTCATTGAATATGTACGTTTTATTAATCTAGAACCAATTATAACTTTAAAAAGGTTTGTGGATGTATAGATGCCATACACCAAATGAATTCTTGGACAATAATGACACACAAGTTGAATATATCGACATTAATGTCCATTCTATTATAATGTACCTTGCAAAAAAGGGAATTAATTCCATTTTAAATAATTGGACAAGATTGTGAAAAATCTAACATTATATTTTGCGTCAAAAATTAACTTTTGTGTGTGGATTATAGGTACTAAAATTTTAAAAATAATAGTAACTTTTTTCTTATAAAAATTTTGACACCTTTATTTACAAGAGATTAATGTAGATTCAATAAAATTCAATACTAATTTTGATTTCAACGTGGTGTATTTTGTGTTAAGATATCATAATATATACAAAATATTAAATTCAGAATTTAATAACTAATATTTGGGATCATCGTCCTAATTAAAGACAAGAATTCATAAAGTTCAAATTTTAAATTTATCGATATTGTACTCAATTATAGGAGTGAAGAATTAATTGGTTGGCCTGCTTTATTTAAATTTTGGTAGAATTTAATTGGTAAAGCTTAGTTGTACTAATGGTGATTACTTGTCGTATCACATAATTATTTATTTGATTGCCAAAAGGAAGAGCTACAAGTTAGACAAATTTAATTTGGTTTATTTATTTTATTAATCCTAATTATTAGTATTATAACTTTTTCATTTTACGCGTAAAAAATTGAATATTTAACCCCTTTTATATTTGATTTCTCTATATGAGAGATCGTCTATACCCATTTCGAAAGTTACCCTTCCCTCTGTAAAAGATTACTCCATATGTTGGAAAGTTTGATCGTTAATTCATAAAAGCAAATCTAGCTCATTTTTATAACGATATGATCATATCTGACCCCAATTATATATTCATAGAGGAAATTCTAATTCATTATATGGCATGAGTATTTATATATATGACTCTTAACTATTAATAATGAAGGGCATATGACATATCTAGACTTATTTTGCAAAGTTTAGGAGAAAAAATTGAACATTTTCCCTTGAGTGATTAATACCATAAAATTTCTCTTTAACTTTGGTTTATTCAAATTCTATATAACAATGTAATATAAATGGAAAATGACTTTTTCTTTTCAAATTAAAATAAAATGTCATCTTCACACCATCTCACTCTTATGAATATTTTAAAGTATTGATGATTTGTTAATTAACAATCCTAGCTCCAAGACTCTTGGAATAAACTTTTAATTTGTTGTGCCTCATAAAATGGCCAGTGTGTTTGGCCATTTTCTTTGGATTTTATCAAAATTAGAAGTGCAATGCCAAAGATGGGAAGAAACAAAAAAAATATGCAAAAAGTATAATTATTAGTACATCATTGTCATTGATGTAATAATTAATAGACCTCAAGATTAATTGTTTTTCTATCTTCTTTAGTAGAAATGACTTTATTTATTGGCGAAATGGTCTGATAGACCCTTGTACTTAAAAGTTTGTGAAGAGTTTTTTAAGTTTTTGAACAATAACAACAACATATTCAGTGTGATTTTATAAATAGTCGATCGAGATTGTTTCCGAAGTTTTTGAAGCATCTAGTAATTATAAAACAATATGTTTATTGTCTAAATGTTAAATAAGAGTGTATAATTAAGTTGTAATCATGAGGCATGGTGAGTAGTGAGAGGTTCACAAAATTTAATGGTTCCCTCATTGAAAGGGTAATCATAAGAGCCTCACAAGTTTTGTTGAGGGTCTACATAATTATTTCTGATTGACATAATAATTTAATCATTTCTTTGGAATTTGATAATCAAAACACTACTTATAATTATAACAACAATAACATATCCAATGCAGTTTCACTAGTGAAATCTAGGAAAGGTGAAGTGTATAGACTTGACATACGACTTTTTCCTTTAGACCCTCGACTCAAGAAAAAATAACTTTCCAGAAGAGTGCAATAACTTCACTTTCTTCTGTATATTCTTTTGTCCTTCCATGTAAGGAGTTGATACTTTAATTTGCTCTCTTTTCTTCTCTTTTTTGTTTTTTTTGCAGTGTTTTACTCTTTAACTGATGTAAAAAGTTGGATTGTCCAAATGTATGAGTGTGACACTTTAGCAATTCTATAAATACTTCCCTTACTCAAGCCTAGAGAGGACCACTTCTCTACTTTGTCAACAACCTGCTGAAATTGGCATGAGCCTGCTAACATAAATTCATCCTATTTTCCTCTTGTGACATTTGCATTGTGCATGTCCATATAGTCATTTAGTCGTGTCTAGAAAGTAGTCGTCTTGTTACTGGAAGGCGAAAGTCTATACATAGTCGTTTAGTGGTGTGTTGATGAAAGTAGTCATCTTGTCACTACCATGTTGAATGACATATAGCCATTTAGTGTCGTGCTGAGAGTTGTTGTCTTGTTGCTGGTAGGTGAATCTTCTAGTTCACCATTTAACTAGTGACGTGTTGTACTAGTCGTCTTGTTGCTGGCAAGTGAATCTCCTGGCTAGCCATTAATTAGTGATGTGTTGAGAGTACTAGTCGTCTTGTTGTTGGCAGGTGAATTTTCTGGCTAGCTAGCTTATTTAGTGGTATGCATGAAGTAGTCGTCTTGTTAATCGTTTAGTGGCAATAGGTGTAGAGAGTAGTTGTCTTGTCACTAGAAGGTGAATCTTCTAGATTATTAATTGTTACCCTCATCATGCCAACTACCATGGTGGCGAAACGAGCTCGTGTCATGTGGTGGATGAGGCTACACTCAGCTATTCGAACCGCCTTAGCATGCATCATAGTAGGGTGTGTCACCCTCTATAGTCCACCTTCTCTTGCGAAGCAACTAGCATTTCCTTCTTTTTCCTACGTGACGTCGATATTCATAGTATCCGACGCCACGTTAGGCCATGCCCTAAGGGGATGTTGGCATGCATGTCTTGCCACACTTCAAACCATGCCACTTTCCATGCTAGGCCTATGGCTTCATAATTATGTCGCCACCGACCACTACTCGCCCGAGGTAGCCGCCCTCATGGTGGCGGTGAGCGCGTTTTTGGTGGCGTTACCGGAGAGTACCGACTTAATGTGCAAGAGAATTGCCTTTGGACAATTTGTTATAGTGTATGTTGATGCTGTTATTCATGGGCTTTATGTCAATTCTCCTATGATGCACCCTCTTAGAATTGCTTTTAGCACTTTACTTGGAGCTTTGGCTTCTATCTTAGCTTTGTTGCTACCCTATCCTTGGCTAGCTTATCATGAGGTATGTATATATATGAACTTCATCGCTAATCTGTCGTTAAATCGCTTCACATAATCTTTTTGATAATTTTTTACCAATATTCGTTGCTAAATAGGATTAGTGATAGGTTTTGTTATTTATCTACAAAATTTGTCAGTTGCTAATTTATGTTGTTTATTGTTGTTATATTATATTATGACATTAATAAATATATATATTATAATCTTAAGTGATTCTGAATGCAATGACATTAACTCAATTGCTGCTAATTATTTTGACGATTGCTAAAAGAAAATCTATTGCCACTAAAATGTTTTTATACTTTCGATGTAACCAAGGTTTTCTAAGCTGTTGAAAAGTCAAATATATAAACACTTTGTTTTAACCGTAAGTTCTTCATTTAAGTATATTATTTTAATTTGCTCAAAGTTGGTATAATTTATCTGTTATAATAATATTATTTTTTCCTTTATAAAATTTATAAGTTGAAAATTAAAGTTGTTGTCTTTTAGTCTGGTCGGACATGAAACTACAACAATGAAGTTAAGTTAATTTGGATCTTCAAGGAAAGGTCCATTTGGTGTAAATATTTATAAATCAATGTTTTTTTAACAAATAATTATACCAATTATTTTAATTTTAACTTGAAATTAAATTATTTATATATAGTGACAGTATGAACATATGTTTATGTTTACGTATATTATTGGTGAAGTTACTTTATGAGTGACTTCATTGTAATGTTGTTTTCACGGTTGTTGTATATATCTTAAGCTCAAACTTTAGTTCTTTAAAGAATTACATAACTATAGTGCAATAGAAAAGAGAGAAACTCGTCACGTGAAATTAGGGGTGACAAAATCAGCTCATAACATCATGATTTGTTCAATCCATTTAGGTTTGAGCGTTAACTCAATTTATTTTTTAACCTGTTTAATTCATCTCATTTTAAAACTAGATTGATACACTAACCAATAATTAATCCGTGAGAAACTTTTGTCTAAATATTTTTAAAAATACATTTTTTAAGTTGATATGTTATATATGGTCATAATATATAATAAGAAAATTTTTATTTGGTACTCAAACAATTTATAAAAAAACAAACAAAGAATTTAAAACTTAAATTTAGCCATTTCAACTCAAACCGTTTTAGACTAAGTAAAATTCAAGGAGGTCAATGAATCGTCAATTTATTAACTCAAACTATTTTGATATCCGAGCAAAATAATTTTTTTTTATGTTCAACTTGACATATGCCTACTGCACTTTTTTTTGTGGTAGATATAAGTTGCCTTATTCTTATGACAATATGATTGATTATATTATTTAATTTGATTGGTATGGTATGGTACTCTTTTATGGTCCATAATATAAACTTCACAGATATTAATTTCCAGTCTGTTTGATTAAAAATTGTAAACATGGGGAAAGAGATTATGCACATTTTGGAGTAAATATGTGTGGGGTTTTGTACACATATATAGTTGTTGCATTACTTCATTCAATGTTTTGATAATTGAATTTATAACATCATCATGTCATGTCACTATTGTGGAAAAACGTGTAAAGATTTTCACATCATACAACTCCTCGAGGTCACAAATAAATAAGACGTAGGACCAGAAGCGAAGCTAAAGTGCCAAAAATTCATTCATTTGGACCATAAAAAAAGTGCCAAAAATTCATTTATATTGATTGCTAATGTATATGTATATAGTAATAAATATTGATTTATTATGACAGGTGAAAAAATTATACCAAATTTATGCAGAAAGTGCAACAGGAAGAATAAATTTATATTTGAAAGCCATTCATACTCAAGATGATCAAATAACCATGGAGCTAATTTCTCAAACAAAGCCCTTTACTGATACAGGAACTAAGCTTCTTGAAACTATCAAATTCTTGGAGGTAAGTTAAATACGATCACTCAACTTTATCTACTATAACAGTAAAGTTACTAAATTACTTTTTCACATTAAAAAATAACTTAACTTTAATCATTATAACAGTAAAGTCACTAAACTTAACCGATCATAATGACAAAACCTATCCTGACTTGATTGTTACTGTCATAGTAGGTAAAGTTCAGTTACTTCAAAATGCAAGTAACAATAGTTTTATGGTGTTCTACTTTTAATATGTCTAAAGCTAGTTTGTGACTTTATTGTTATAACGTAAATAAAGTTCAGTATCCATACGTGAAATGAACATGTTATTGTTCAATAATCTAAATGGTCCCTCTTATACTTATAGGAAGGTTTGCAATGGGAGAAACCTTGGTTGAGATACTTGAATCACAATTTCACAGATCCAGGACTTGGTTTACAAAACATGGATGTATCAATGAAAGGAATGGAATTGGCTATAACTTCTTGTCCAATTTTTCCCACAAGAATGATAGATAAAGAGCTTTTTAAAGTCACACATCATGTTATGATGTTTCTTGGTCAAATAATGGGGCAAGAAAGATCATTTTTACCACATAATTCAGTAACAGAAGGGGAGTTTGAGAAGGAGTACTCTTCTAGGCATTCTAATGAACCAATCTTACCAACAAAACAAGATCAAGCAGCACTCTTCTTCTTATCTTGTTTCAGAATGTGCACGAGTGACTCTGAAACGATCACACCTATAAACGAAGGACTTAGAGCCACAACAGAAAGAAGTAGTAGTAGTAGTAACAGATCGTGTTGCAGACGAGTCTGCATTGATAGGACTATGCTAATAATCAATGAGAGAATGGTGGTATTCGCGTTCAAGTGTTCACTTTCATTAGGCCTGGCTGTGTTGCTTGGTCTGCTATTTAATATTGAAAATGGTTACTGGTCAGGCCTCACAATAGCCCTCAGCTTTGTTACAAGGAAACAAGCAATTTTCACAGAAGCAAATGCAAGAGCACAAGGAACAGCTATAGGATCAGTGTATGGTGTACTTGCCTGTACTATTTTTCAAAAAGTCGCGCAAATAAGGTTCTTATCTCTTCTCCCATGGATAATTTTCACCACATTTTTAAGGCATAGTAGGATGTTCACTCAAGCAGGGGGAACAGCAGCAGTAATAGGTTCACTACTGATTTTAGGCAGAAAAAGTTATGGTCCACCTAGTGTATTCGCAATTTACAGACTCACTGAGGCCTTCATTGGACTAGCTTGTTTCGTCGTTGTTGAACTTATCCTGCAACCTACAAGTTCAGCAACTTTAGTAAAAAAACATCTCTATCTAATCCAAGGAACACTCAATGAATGCACTGAACACATGGTAGTTGATTCAAGACAAAAGGGGTTAATGGAGAAGCAAAGGAATCTGAAATCTCAAGTCCAAGACTTGGAAAAGTTCATTAAAGATGCAGTCTTGGAACCTAGATTCTGGTTTATTCCTTTTCCAATTTCTTGCTACCAAAAGCTCCAAATGTCTTTGTCAAAGATGGCAGATGTTCTGTTCTTCATGTCCTGTGATATCAAATTCCTCTCTCAAGCGTTCGATAGGTATTATCCTGATAAAAGGGAGCTTCAACAATACATTAACAACAACTTACAGCATTTTAATGATGCTCTATGCTCTTCAGTGAGCTCCTTTGAGAAAATTATTTCTATCAGACTGTTAAAAACTTCTCAAATCCAGCCAGAGCAGAATATATTGAATGATCTTGAAGAAGGGAATTCATCATGTCCAAGGGGGGATGTAATGTATTCAAGAAACGACGAGGAGATGGAGATGATTCTGAGTTCTTTTCTTCAGAACTCAAACGAGGTCAATGGTAAAGTGAGGGACATTGCAGGTATAGAGCTTAGAGGAACGATTGTCGGTTGTTTGTGTTCTTTAGAATTTTGCATGAGCTTTTTGGAGAAGGAAGTAAGAGACATCGACAACGCGATAAAAGAATTGGTGAAGTGGGAAGATCCTTTGGGTGAACCAACTTGTTCATAAGAATCTGCTACAGGATTCTGAAGTTACTATAAGCAAATCCATATGATCAATGGACACAAAAGCATAAAGTTGTAGCTCTAATATAGTTGTCTCTCTAGTTTCCTTAAATCCAAGGCAATATATTATTTTGAATCTTCTTTACATTTTATCAAACACATAATTATCTAGGCAATTTAAACTATAAATGACTTTATGGTCATAACATAACAAAGAAAACCATATTATAATAACAATCTAGATTAATGTTGCAAGTTCAAAATAGATTTTGCTGTTAATGTTTAATTCTTTAGAGGTGCAAATCACAGAGACAGCAATTTCTTTTGTTTCGAACAATAAACACTACTAGAACATTAAGCAACAGGGGAAGGAAAAGATATCATTTACTCTATTTGAAGCAATGTACTGAATACTGATCAATAGTTTTAGCCAAGTTTCTATGGACCAGAAGCAGTCACATACAAGTCCATGCTCAGTAATTATAAATGTTTCGCCACATCAAAATTCAATATCTATCATATAGAGCTGCCAAGGGCAAATAAACATAACTATTTTTGCCCAAGCTAATTCTAAAATAACAACTTTCAATTGCCTTCATATTTGGGATCTGCCATCACATAATGGTAAGCGACCACCAGCATAAAAATAAAGATACCAAGAAAGTTGGCAAAGAAACCCAGGTCCTGGTCGTCAATCATCTGCAACATTCATGCACAAACAAACAAACATATTAGACAAATCAACCGCCATTTTTTTGTCGCATAATATGTGAACAAGAAAACTCCAGAAAAGGATAAATAAAAGATAAGGTAGTCACTAGAAAGCAACTATCTATTCCAAATTTACGTCATTCTTACTGAAGTTTAAACATCTGGAGACTATTGCTGAGTCTCTTCTCTTGGCTACCCATTTTCCCTTTACCAATCTGAAATATTCTTAATCACTCCAACTTTAGAATTCATATTTACAAGTTTTTTGCAGCTACACACTCAAACTAACACCTGTGTTCTAACAATCTAGAAGACAAATCATCCAACTAGATTAGTCAGCCAAGCTGTTCAACAGACTCTAACAAACGCTAAAGTCAGCAGAAAAAAAGGCAGAATTAAAAAAACAAGGACAATATATTATCAACTGGCCAAAGAGTGCCTAAGAACTAAGATGCCAGCGAACCAAGAGACATGCAAAGCTGGAGCCAATGAACACATGCCAGCTCTTTCTTTTAAGGTACATGGATCTATCTCCTCTTTTCTCTTCCTAAAAGTCAATCCAACGGCAAAGTTAAACTTACTACTCTCTTCTCTTCTCCTTTCTTTTCCTTCCCTTTCATTCAAATAAAGTCCAAAACATCCTTTAGCGAAGTGGTTTGTAAAGTCTAACAAAACTTTAGGCTAATGAACAAATTACATTAAGTGTTACTGTCACATTACACATTACCTTCTTCCCTTTCCAAGGAAATCCTAAAACAAATACTTAATACTCTCCATCCCTCTTCCTCTCTTTTGTTTATCCTACATGGTCTTCATTCTTATATCTTTAGTCCAGACATTTATTGGTTGGAATAATTCAGGGCCTATATAGATGGCAGGATTTAATCCTTTGGATTTCTAGTTCTTAAGCTTGAATCCAATGCACCTGTTTGGATACCAGTTGATTTTAGCTATAAATTAGGATCATGTACACATGAAATGTAAAACATGTCCTTTGAAATCCCATCTTGAGCAATCCATCCCTTTGGACCATAGGCGAATGTACAAGCCAAGAAAAGCCTGATTCATGCTAAAGCTATACCAGTAACTTGAGCTGCATGATCCAAGTTAAGCTAAAATATTGAGCAAAATGCAAAGACCTTATCCACATCACCAAGTATCAATTTGCTATGATCAGAACCTTCTTGGCAAAACTGCTTAAGCGATCGAACTTAAATGTTTTCATGAGTAGAAATGCTAAATAATCTTTTGAGGTGCTTAAGGCAATATACTCTATAGGTTTCTTCACTCATTCTAAATATCACTCACTTCACCAATACTTAGGCAATATTTTCACTCGTTGACTCACAAAGATAACATCAAAAAATGCCAACATACCCCACTCCCAAATCTACATCATTATTGTATGCCACCAGACTACTCCGTAATTTCACTTCTACTTATCGGGAAAAAAATAATGCATGCCACCAAACTTCATGTCAATCAAACACCAGAAAATGATTTAAGAATTATTTTCCCTTGTTAACATATTCCACCTATAAGCATTTTGCATTGTTTTACATCATATGAAACAAACCACTTGAGTCTTCCCACTTTTTGCATCTCATGAAGCACTATATAAATGAAACTTTATTGCAGACATTATTGGTTTGGAATAATTTCGAGGCCTATATGGATGGAGGGATTTAATCCTGTGGATTTCTAATTCTTAAGCTTGAATCCAATGCACCTCTTTGGGCACCAATTAATTCTAGCAGTTAATTAGGATCATTTCACAAATGCCAAACATGTCCTTTGAGATCCCATCTTGGGCAAATTGTCTCCATCCCCTTGGACCATAGGAGATTATACAAGCCAAGAAAAACCTAATTCATGCTAAAGATAGACAGCAATTCAAGTTGTATAATCCAAGTTGAGCTAAATATTGACCAAAATACAAAGATCTTTCCCACATCACCAAGTATCGGTTTGGTATGATCAGAATATTTATGGCAAAACTGCTTTAGCTATCTTCAATAGCTTAAATGTTTTTAACGAGTACAAATGCTAAATAATCAACCCTACTTGGGAAAAGTAGCTTCAATCTTTTGATGTGCATAAAGCCAGAACACACTATAAACTTCTTCACTCATACCAAATATCACTCATTTCACCAATATTCAGACAATATCCTCAATCTTTGAAACTCACAAGGTTAATATTGAACACCACCAACATTACTCCTCTCCCAACAAAACTACTCCTAATTCCCTTCTACTTATCAACAAAAATTGACCATATGCCACCAAACTCATGTCAGTAAACACCACGAAATGATTTAGGTATTAACATTTTCCATTTACAAACATTTACATCACACGAAACAAAACCCCTATTAAACTCTTCCCATTGTTTGCAGAACTCCTTAACCACTATAGAAATGAAACCTATAGTCCCCTATACATTCTGTTTCATCTTCATAGCCCTCCAGAACCCTTGATCCATAATCTAGTTCTTCTACATAATTCACTTCACATCACAACAAATTCCATTTCCTTCGTAAACCCACAAACAAAACAACAATTCTCCTTTTTATACAATCTGATACAATGTACCTCATTCCTTATCGAATTACCGAAATTACAACAGATCAACCATTCAATTGCACGAAATAACAATAAATCACAAAAAATTAACCCCTAAAAGATAAATCGCGAACCAAAATCAGCTCAATCAAAAAGTACTCTTTTTTTTTCTGAAAAAAAAACAGGATTCAACAAAAATGAAATTGAATTATGCGAGGATGAAACTTACAGTGAAATTTGTGTAGAATTTGAAGAACCCAAAGGCTACGATCTTTGATTTTTCTTCCTCCGAGAGTGTCAGTGAAGACTTTAGATCGGACTTTGGAGCTATTTAACCTAGTGCTGATGAGGGTGGGTGGGTCATCAAACGACACCGTTTTAGTAGTTTGAGTATGTTATACTGCGTCGTTTTAAGAGTTTGAAGAAAAAAAATGAGATGTGTGGCTGCTGGGATTCGAGCCCAGGTCTCCACGGCCACAACGTGGAATTCTTACCACTAAACTACAGCCACATCTTGTTTCAAAATATAGGAACTTTTACAACTTAAGAGTAGTATTTTAAAGATCATGTGATGTAAAGACTAGTAATGTATTTTATCATAGACTTCATCAATTAGTGGTCTCCGTGATGAATAAGATGTGAAAAGCGAAGTTGTGATAGTTTGGACATGTGAAGTGGAGATGCCATACGCACTAGTAAGGAGGTCCGAGAGGTGGATGTAGTAGGCATGAGATAGGTAGAGGTGAAACAAAAAAATTAATTAAAAAGAGGTCTAATAACTTTAGATTAAGCATAATACATAAGTATGACCCTTAGCTTGGTGTCAGTTGGCAACTATGACCTTTAACTTTGGGTTTGCACAAGTAGACACTTAAACTTGTATAAAATTGAACAAATAGATACATTCGTCCTACATGGCACCTTACATGACAATTTTGTGTCCTACATGGAGTCCGACGTGTATTATGTCATATAGGATATGTATGTCTACTTGTTCAATTTTATACTAGTTTAAGTGTCTACTTGTGCATATACTCAAAGTTGGAGGGCATAGTTATCCGTTGAAGCCAAGTTAAGGGTCATGTTTATGCATTATGCCTTTAGATTATCTAGGAGATTACCTTAGATGTGAGGGTGTGTGTACTGAAAATCGTATATTATGATAGAAGGTTAATAGATAGTGGAGTGTTGTCATGATTTCGAGGGCTCAAAGCTTGTTGGTGCCTTTTATTGTACTAGCCTATTTTTTGTTAGTTCTAGTTTCTTACATCTATTTTCCTTTGTTTAATATTTTACGGCTATTGCATTATTATGTTGTTGTTATATTATTTTCTTATAGGCTTTGTACTACTTCTTCTACTAGTTATTATTTTTTTGTTACTATTTGCTCCTTCATATCTGAAATCATTGTATTTGTGCCGAAAGTCCTTTAGTAACAATCTTTCTGCCTCCCCAAGATAATAGTAAAACATACTTACACTATACTCTCAATATCCACCTATAAAATTTTATTTAATATATTATTATTATTATCATCATCATCGTAATTTAGCATCAATATATCTTTGTAATTATTAAAATATGAGTGTCCAAAACAAACTTTCAAAGTGAGTGCATTACACACGAGGTGTGTTTTCTAAACTAATAAGTGATAGTTTACCTAAAGTGAGTGATTTACACTAGGGGTGTGCACTATTCGGATTAAGCCGAATAACCAAACCAATCAAATCGAATTTTTATTTGGATTGTTTTTTTTGTTTTTCGGATTGGTTTTTAATTAATAAATTACTTTGTTTGTTTTTTTGGTTTGATTTCGGATTTTAAAAAATAAAAATTGAAAAACCAAAAAAAAACCGAATTATATATATATATATGTTTAGAGAATTAAGTTGGAGTTAACCACTTTTGTCCCTTTTTGGTTATTGTCTTTCATGATGATTACGTTTATATTTTATGTTTGAATTACATCTATAATAGGTATACTTATAAGGAAAAATTTTACTATGGGTGAGGCCCAACCAACCAAAGTTGGAAGAGGCTCCACCCATTTTTTGACATGTGGATCGTGGGGCCCAAATTATTAGTTAAGGCTAAAAAAATGAAACCAAAAGGAGAGAGAATGTAAAGTTTGAGTGGAAATTGCAAGATAATTGTGGGGCCCATATTGTACTTGTTTCATTTCCTTACTATTGG